TCAAAAAAAAAAAAAAAAAAAATCAAAGTTAAGTTTCTTATATTCTTCTAAAGTACATTCCTCCTGAGAGTCACATTTACTATGAATATCCCCACATCACAATTTTTCCAATGTTACAATTTTCTAATTTTGTGAGCAATATATGTACCACCCAGAACAGCTACTAAAACAGTTTGGCAAAGGGTTTCTCTTCTTGTTTCTAAATGAAGTATGTGGTAAGCTGATTTCATTCCATAGAACCAAATCTCCACTGAATTTAACATTTTACCCCAAATTTCTATTTATTGGCTAAGGATCATTTTTCTTATCTCTTCTCACATCCACTAACAGTATCTTTTTCCATAGGCCTCACTCACAAAAATAGAAATAAAATAAAATTAGTGACTACCAATTAGTCGCTATAATTTTTTAAGAATGGGGATAGAGAATATCTTAAGAGGTTCCAAAAAGAGAGGAATTAGAAAGCAGAATAGCACTGAATCCCTCAATGGCAAAAAATAAAAGAGAAAATTTCTCTCAAATTTCTGAGAGAAACTTACTTTCCAACATGGACACCTATGTTCTTTTAGTTTCCTTGGCTGCCATAACAAATTACTACAAACTTGGTAGTTGAAACCAACAGCAATTTACTGTCTCACAGTTCTGGAGACCAGAAGTCCGTATCTGGCAAACCCTTACTCCTTCTTGGAGCTTCAGGGGAGAACCCATCCTTTGCTGTCTCCTCCAGCCTCTGGTGTTTCATGGTATTCTTTAACCTGCAGCCACATCCCTCCCACCTACGCCTCCATGGTCACACTGCCTGCTCTGCTTCTGTCTGTCAAATCTCTCCTGTGTGTCTAAGCACACTTGTCAATGGACTTAGGGCCTTACTGAATAATTCAGAATTACCCTTCATCTTGAGATCATTAACTTAACTGCATCTGCAAAAACCCTTTTCCCAAATATTGGAGGCCATCTATCAGGCCAGCATGTCAATAAAAAATAACAACACCTATGCCCTCTCCCAGAATGCTGATGACTGTGCCATCACTACAATGCAGAAGAAAGCCAAGAGAATAGAAGACATTTAGTCCAAAAAAAAAAAAAAAAAAACAGAGGATACTGCATAGGAGAGAGGCAAATGGAATTCACAGGAAGGGAATAAAGAAATGTTGCAAAATGATAGTGCACAGCAGGTAAAGAACAACCAGTTTAGATTGTAGCAGCAAGATGACCACAAGAAATATACTACTGAGAAGGGTTTAACAGTTCGTTTGAAGAGTATGGAAGGATTTTGGCACATACAAAACTAAGAAAAAAAAAAGGCAAGTGATAACTCTAGGAAAATAAACATTGTAAGAAAGCTCAAGAAAGTAAATATTATTGTATACTATTTTGCTCAGCAGTGAACAATATTCACAAATGAATACTAGTATTTAATCTAGCATATTTTAATATATTATGTTTGAAGGACAGAATGTGGAGAGGTATGAGAAAAACCAATTTTATTTTCCATAAAAGATAGTATCTAGTATTGAGAAAGAAATAATGTAAATATTATTTAAGATATGGAGATAAATACTAGAAGAATGAACTAAGAGTTGCCAAGGTGTAGAGAAGAATGGAAAAGGGCAGTGGTTATTTTATTTAATCATAAGTTCACTTTTCATACTGTGCTCCTATTGCTTTGATAATAGAATTTTAAAATTCGAATGCAGAAAAGATTCTAAGAAAAATGACTTGTTCGGGCCCTACCACAGTTAAAAAACATTTGTCAAAATGTCTGTTTCTTATATCTTGAAGAAATATGAAATTTCTATAAACATTCTTTTTTTTTTAAAAAAAAGCATTCTTAAATTCCCAAGTCATGTCTAAATTAGGAGAAAACCAAACCAAACAAAACACCAGAACCACTCCTAAAGTATGGTCACTTATAATGGGCTCAACCTACATAACCTATGTAATATTATTATTATTTTATCCAGATTTACTTTAATATAAAACTCCTGCCTCTCTTGATTATTGAATATACGACTTTAACATCAAAACTGAATAACACATATAACTGGGAAAAAGAATTGAAGTCATTAAAATGAAGATGTTTCCAAATTGGTATCCTGATACGACAGCTGTCGGTGAATCTAGTTTATATGTGGGTAGCCTCTAATTTTAGAGATTTCACAATATTAGGAATATGAATTTAAAAATATCTGTGCTGTGAATATCATTGCAGCCCAGGGAAGGGACAACAATCAGATTCCTTTTGTTCCATTCTGTGATGAAACAAGGAACATCTATTAGGAATATAATAGCTATGGTGCTATAAGAAAAAAATGGCAAATGTTATTTTCTGCTTACTTAATATCCTCCTTAATCCAGTTCATTCAACGATTCATTTCTAAATAGCACTTGGGCACACCAAATCTATGCTCACCTTTGCCACACTGCCTTTCCTTGAACTGCCTTAAAAGTTCACCTATTTCAAGTAACATACATAGATATAATCATCTATGCTCTAAATAAATAGTAGCAGTTACTCTGAAACTCCCCCCCACACAGGGGTAGCTATTTAACTTACATTTTGTTAGAGCTGGTGTAACTGATGTTAACGTGTACTCGGCATATTAATTTAGAATTTGCCCACTATCAAGTGAATCTTGCTTACTTTACTTGAAGTCATTTGTCCATCTTAATTGTAAGACTTTAAAGGACAAAAAGATAGTACCTGGTAGAAACTGGCACTTAATAAATATGTTTGATAAATAGTATAGTACTTTCATAGTTATTCAGATGCAAACTCAAGCAAAATTTTTTAAAAAGGAGTCTGTTTTTCCATAAATATGAAATCAAAAAGAAAACATACATTTTTAAAAGAAAGAAATGTGTCAGGGTATTGGTGGCATGGGACAAGGAGTTCTAGAAACAAATTACTTTTAGAGCAAAACCACTTTGGCTTAAGTCTCAAGCAATTTTTGACCTTGTCCCAGATTTATAAATATCGTGATCACTGAAGTAGAAAAAAAGAAAGTCAAGGGCAAGTGCAGATGGTAAAAAACAAACAAAAAAAACAACAACAAAACAATGACAGTGGAAGGAATCCCTTGTGCATTTTCATAACTCATGAAAGAAATAAGCCCAAAGCAAAATTATGTGCTTCTATAAAATGTTATTTTGAAACCAACTGGAAAAAGAAAAAAAAATAAGTCTTTTCATCTTCCCACTAGTTCTTTCCCATCCAATGCTGCTGAATCTTTTTGTAGCTCTTACAGTAAAATGCTACTAGTGAGAATACAGCCTATTAAGGCTTTTGAAGTAAAAAGTATAAATCCCCAAACAGAGTGTTTATTTACAAGTACTTCTGATGGACATTTTAAAATAGCAGCACTAGAGAGAACTATTATTATATAAATATACTATTTGAGCCCTTTGATATTAAAAATGAGACAAATAGTTTCAAAAACTTTAGCCAAAGTTAGGTGAAATTCAACTTAAACAAGAAACTTAAAAAAATGCTCCAACCCTAGGCTAGCATAAAATTTCTAAATGCTCTTCTTGACTGGGTTTCAATTCTCTTCCCAAAACACAAACAAAAAATTGATGACAAAAACTCTCATTTCCTGACTGATTAAAAGTACCTTAGGTTTTGCCAACAGAAATCAAGCCATCAAAATACAACTGCATACTTTGATTTTTTAAAACAATGACCCTATAAAACCCACCCCCTATAAAGCACATTTCAAAACCTGTCACCTGGTACAGTAAAAAGAAACTACTGGCTGGGTGCCGTGGCTCACACCTGTAATCCTAGCACTTTGGAAGGCGGAGGTGGGCGGATCACCTGAGGTCAAGTTCAAGACCAGCCTGCTCAACATGGTAAAACCTCATCTCTGCTAAAAATACAAAAATTAGCTGGGACCCGTAGTTCCAGCTACTTGGGAGGAAGCAGGAGAATCTCTTGAACCCAGGAGGCAGAGGTTGCAGTGAGCTGAGATTGTGCCACTGCACTCCAGCTTGGGCGAAGAAGGGAGACTCCATTTCAAAAAAAAAAGAAGAAGAAAAGAAACTACTACTGAGGTCCACAGGCCAAAGAGCTGGAGAAGCAAAGTTATCATGCCAAAGGTCACAGAGAGTATTTATGTTCTTAATCTTGCAACCAGTCAAACATCACTAAAGATGCCTCCATGCAAGAATGACTTTCTACCATCTCTGACTCTTCATATTTTACAGGTTACACACCATCACAATTACTTCTATGGGTAGAGGTCTGAAATTAAAACTGTGGCCCACACATGCTTCTATTCTCCAAAATGAGCAAAATGGCAGGATTTCAGGTAGGAGAGATGCACGCCCTATCTCTAAAGGTTGTGGGCAGGGAGGAATTTTAATAAAATCTGGAAAAAAAAAAAAAACCTCTGTAATTCTATAATCTGCTTTTCCATCTCAAGACTCTTAGTCTTAGAGCTGAAAGTCTGATACATTGAATCCTAAATAAAACTTTTACCTGTTTGCCTTTTGGTTTCTTCTTGCTTGAGGTAGTCTCATTTGTACTTTCATCCATTCCTCTCAAAACACTGATAAAATCTTTCTTGGAAACAGTTGATATCAACTTAGTTCGCTTTCTAATAGAGCTTCCAGCTTCTTTAACCTTCTCGTCAACGTTCTTTTGATGTTTCTGAACAGCATTGAATAATTGTACCACACCTCTATAGAATATAAAATGACCAGAGCAATGTAGTTAAATAATTACATGAGATACAAACTCTGAGGATAGGAAAAATGTATTTTCACTGTCTAGAAAAAAGGCAAGCATTTATCAAGTACTCAAATGAAAGAGCTAGATAAATGGTTAAATACATCTGAAAACTGAATATATACTTCAATGAATGAATATAAGTTTCTGAACAGATAACAAATGTAGATTGGTACATAACTTTGTGCTTGACCCCAGAAAAGATTTTTCTGGATCTCAATTTCATCTGTAAATTGGAAAAATTATACCTGAGTAGCTTAAAAGGTATTCAGCTATATTATCTGCAACTTGTGTTATTAAACTATTTTAAAATCCTACTTTATAAAATACTTATTTTAAAAACTATGTTCTGTATTTATTTGAATTCAGTCAAAATAAATTCTGAAAATTAAGACTTGCAGCATCCAATACAGGAGCCACAAGCCACAAATGGCTAGTGAGCACTTGAAATGTGACTGGTCTGAATTCCAAGCGCTATAAATGAAAATACACACCAGATTTCAAAGACTCAGTATGAAAAGCAGAATCCTTAAATCTCATTAATAACTGCTTCATACTGATATGATGAATATTTGGAATATAGTTAAACAAAATATTGAAATTAATTTCACCTCTTTCATTTTACATTTCTCATTGTGTCAACAAGAACATTTTAAACTACATATTAAATTACGAATGAATATAGTTCACATTCATTTCTCCTGGACAGCACTGATTTAGACTGTTACGATCCCTTCCAGCTCTAAAATTCTGCAGTCTATGAACTTTCTTTCTCTAATAATTATTGGAAGAGGCAACCTTCCAGTAATTATTGGGCCTTCAGCATCCCTGCATATGCTTGCTGGATTTTTTAAGAATGAATGCACCTGACTGCTCTTTATCCAGGCCATTTCTCAGGGTTGTTTGTAGAAAGTGACTCTGAGGAATGAAGTAACGTCTCCCCCAGACAAAGAGCAGGCTAGTTACCAATCAGTATAAAAGTGATAGATTCCCAAGCACAGTGTTCCAACTCTTATAACACAACATACTGCACATGCAGGCATCCATCTGGGACACCAGCACTCCCTCCATGGGACACAGGAAACAGTGGGAATGTGAAGCTCTGCTACTGCTTTTGCCATGAGTAATAAAGTCCTTTTTCTTTGACCCAAAGTGTCTTGTCTTCTACCGGCGTCCAGGATAAACTTTCACAGGCTAGCTTATAAACTTATAAGGAGAGTAAAATTCCAGACCCTTCACAGCAGTGACTGGACCAGGGTGAGGAAAGGGAGGTGCCTAGGACATAAAATTTAAGGAGGCATTCACTCTCATGTACTGATCCTGTACTTTTCTAAGTTCTGTATATGTATCCACTTAACTATCAAAGAAACCCTATACGCTAGGTATAGTATACTTATTCACAGATAAACTGAGAGAAAAAGAAATTAAGTAGCTTGCCCAGAGACACACTGCTAGTAAGAGCCAGTGCTAGGATTTGAACCTAGCAGTCTGGCCCTATTACTCATGCCCTTATTTACCACACCACACTATCACACTGTGTAATATGTAGATGGATTAGAAAATGACCAAAATAACTTAGGTAACAAGAATTTAAAAGTAATTCTGCCAAGTACAACTGCTACATTCTTTAGTAGCAGCTCAAATGTTATCTCCTCTGTAATGCCTTTTCAAACTCTCCCAGACAATCTTCTGTTCTATGTTCCCAACACATAGGCATAATTCTATCCTCAAAGAGACTGTAATTCTACAGATGACAAGGCAAAGACCACCCAGCAGCCACCATACCCTATTTATCTTTGGACACAGAGGGCAACGAGTAAATGTTTGGTGCCAATGATTAAATAAGCGGAGTAAAAAGATAGCATGAAGTAGCTATAATGTGTAATGTATTATGTCATAAATATAATGCAAGATAAAAATCATCGAGTGCCATAAATTTAGACAGGCATCGTAAGAGAAATGCAGTAAGAGGTCTGATTACACAGTCCTCGCGACTATAAAAACAAGATGATCCAAAATAGGTTCATACCAAATATACACTTAGCACATTAGATTCTTGCCTCACGAGACCTGCAAAATCTTTGGTTTAACTCAGTGTTAAACGGGCAGGCTTAGATATTTATCACTTGGCTCTAAGAAGGCTGAGTTTAAGAATCAAATCTGGTCAAAAATAGAATCATAACAAAGCTTTAGTACACTTATTTTTTAAAGGGCAAAAACACTGTCTTACCTCGTTGCAATTCTCTGAAGGTTTCTCTCTGTCTCCTTGTCTTGGACAACATCTGGCTTTACTCTGCACATCATTTCCCACTCCATCCTCCTATCACGCTGTGTTATAAATATCGTTATGTGAAAGAATATTAGATATTTCTGAAAGTGCAGCAAACATCGGTATGATACTCTATGAAAGGGTGAAGGTAATAAATCATTCTGGCTTAGTTTGTCATTAGGACTTTAAAAAAAAACACCATTTTAGGGGTTCAGCTTCAAGAGCCTGTGGTTAGCACTCAGCGTGTCATACGAGAGGCACAAAGTGAGTTTCTGTCAGGCCTCTGACAGCAGGGCCTGGAGAGCTGCCAGCATATTTGGCCAGGCAGTACGAGATAGGGTATGAGGGAGCCCATAGGCCTGCTCTGCCATTGCCAGACTATCTGAGGAAAGCATAAAGAAGATTCCAAACTACACTCTTTGGAAATTGTGAATTCATCTTTACTTTCAGAAAATGACTTCCTCAGTCATCAGAATTATTATTAGGAAATTGTATCACTTTTAAAAGAACAGCATCATATCCAGATACTTATACGATGACTAGTATTTCTTTGCACAAAATCATTTAAATCCATTTCTCTTCTCATAGCATATCTGACCAATATTCTTGCCATATATGGCATATCAGTTGGAAACTATAGCAAACTGTACAGAAGCAGAAGAGGAGGTGGGAAATAAGAAAATCCCATAGATGACATAATTTAGTTTGAACTTGTCTTTAAGTAGTATCCGGGTCCCAGGAATCTGATTTGATACATTGCTTGTTCATGTCTCCTTCTCAGGCCAACATTTAACCAAATATCAAATATAATGATATAATGAATTAATCACCAAGAAGCTGGCAAGCGTCAAAAGCATCAAAGCCAGTAATAAAGACATTTTTATTAAAATTTCTCTTTTTATCTATTTTCTCTACTAATCTATTTCTCATTTTTTATTAATGAAAACGTCTAATACCAGTAAAACCAAATTCTTGCCCTCACTATAAAGATTAGCCTGATAGCTTTCTAAAGAAATAGATTTGTCTTCAAATCAGACAATTCATTTTAGTGGTCACGAAATTCACTGTCAGATTATGACAGAAATTTTTTTTTAAAATCTTACTTTTAAGTTTGAAACAGTCAATTTTAAATTATATTCAGTACTCAAAGGATAATAGGTATGCTTAATCCTGAAACACTTTTAACTCTGAAATTTATTTTTGTATTTATGATTAGAAATAAGTAGCTGATATACTAGAAAATTTAATGGTTAACATTAGGAAATGATAATTTACATATACTCTTCTAAGAAATATACACAAAGAGCATTTGTAGCTGCTGTGTCTTGTTTCTGGTATCAACACATGCACGTTCACGCTTTATGGAGCCAGTATCATCTCTAGCGCTCAAAGCTTTGGCCTAAAGCAGAGTTACAGACTCATTCCTCTTGGCTTCAAAGTGTTCTTACCCTCACTAGAACTCTGGGACCAGAGGAAATCAAAGATTCTGATATTGTTGAAGCCTCTTCTAGCATTTGCCAGATAATAAACAAAGATTCAAATTTTCATTTGAAAAGCTATCTGCAAGATTCAAAGACAAAACGTATCTTAAATAAAACACAATGAGAATACTGAATTAATAAGAGAATATGCTGTGTTTCTAAGAGCAATGCTTAAAAATTTCCATCTTTCACACAGAGCAACCAGTATTAAGAACAAAGAAAACATTCATCTTGAAACAAGATAAGGAGACAGTAAACATAAAAGGAAATATATGCCAATTCAAAACTATTTTTCTTTCATTTTTACCTATGAAATAACTTTGGGAATCAGTACTTCTATGCCGCCAGTACATTTGTAGAAAATTATTTTTCTTTCATTAAAAAATAATGCATGTTTTAGTAACCATGTATTTTTGACAGAGATCATCAAGTACAGTGATATGTAAACCTTATTTTTAGTTATTATAATATACAACAAATTTATGTCCAACTTTTGGCCTTTAATTAATAGATTATAAAAGCATAATGAATTCAAATTTATCCAACACTGATTTGTATCTAACATTGAAATAATCAGTTTGCAGAACTGCAACCAATCCCTGAGTTGTGACATCTTCACAGATTTCTGTTATAAAATAAGTTTTGGCAAAAAGTAACCAACATACTTCTTAGTTCAAAACCTAATAAAGTCAGCATACAGACAGCTAAAACAAATAAAATAGGCTCAGGAATCACTGCCACATGTATAATTCTTGATTTTAAAAACTGGCTGGGTACGGTGGCTCACGCCTGTAATCCCAGCACTTTGGGAGGCCGAGGGGTGTGGATCACCTGAGGTCAGGAGTTCGAGACTAGCTTGGCCAACATGGTGAAATCCCGTCCCTATTAAATAAATAAATAAATAAATCACAATAAAATAAAAATAAAAACATGTTTCCTCCGTGTTTACATTTCCATTAGTTTGCCTTTGCCTAGATGATTAAAACGTGAACATGCTCAATGGAGTAATTTAGGCTAAATTCCTAAACATAACCTTAGTTATCCATCTTAACATAAAAATCAAATTAAAAACTGGAATGTTAGTTGGACAAACACTGCAAGGAAGGGTTCAGCCAAGATAACAACTAGCCTAGACAAACAATCTAATCTACAAGACAACTGGTGGAACACACCTGTTTTATTTTCTCTTGTCTTTCTTGCTTTAACTTTTCTTTTTCCTTTTCCAGCTTCTTATTTTTGACCAGAATAGTAGGTTTACTTTCAGGAGTTTTCTTGTTGAGGACTTTAGCCATGGCATCTGCCCAGCCCATATTGGTCCCAATATTTGATTCTGCATCATCTTCATTTTCTTCGTCACAGGGCTCAGCATCACCCTCATTGTCAGCTTCTATTGCTTCCTCATCAGAATAAAAGTAGTCATATTCTGATCCACAGCTTCCTATTATAGATCCTCCTACTACAGAACCTAAGAGTAAAAGCAAATTAAACTTTAATATCCTAGGCAGAGGTTGCCAAGGCCCCTGGAACCTTTCCTGGAGCTCTGTCCATCCCCACTTTTGCAAGGGGGGAACTTTTCTGAGTCCCACAGCTACAGTAATAATGAAAAGCAATAGGACCACCTATCCCATTGTTATTAGCTCCTAGAGACCTAGCCCAGCCACAGACAGGGGATGTCACAGTGGCTTCAAAACCCAGGACCCAGCCAGGTGTGGTGGCTCACGCCTGTAATCCCAGCACTTTGGGAGGCCGAGGCGGGCGGATCACGAGGTGAGGAGATAGAGACCATCCTGGCCAACATGGTGAAACTCCGTCTCTACTGAAAATACAAAAATTAGCTGGGTGTGGTGGCGTGTGCCTGTAGCCCCAGCTACTCGAGAGGCTGAGGCAGGAAATTGCTTGAACTCAGGAGGCAGAGGTTGCAGTGAGCCTGGACCGTGCCACTGCACTCCAGCCTAGTGACAGGACAAAACAAACAAACAAACCAACCAAAAACCCCAGGACCCAGGCAGCAGAAACAAATCCAATAGCCTCTGCCATATCCCTATTGCCAAAGTGGTGACAGATGCTGACATGGAGTCAGTGCAAGGTGTGTTCAAGTACACGAACCTTAATTGCGTCACTACACTAATGGAAGAGGCTAATGAAGACTATTAAAATAACAGAAAATTTTAATAAGAAAATGGAACAGCATTACCAGAATAAATCTTCTAAGGGATTTGTCCCAGATATTTAAAATTCTGAATTTGTGTGCAGAATAAAAGGCCTAAAACTAAAAATTAGCCTCATGTGAAAGAATTTGCATATAACTTTAGAAAATTGGGCATTTTAACATTTTTGAAAAAAAATTATCTAATGACGTGCCCAAAATACTAGATTCAACTATAGTGCTGAGTGACTGAATGAAAATACCAAGTTCTGAGTTGAAGATACAAATGTCTAAGTGTGCCTTTGACTTTTATCATACAGAACCATCCAAAAAAAGTACTGATAGGTTACCAGCAAACTATCATCATTTAAAATTCAAATGGATGAGAAGGATTAGTAGAAACAATAAATAATCCAGAAAGTGGCTTGGCTTGCAAATCAACCTGCTGAGCAGCTCTGGGTAATTTAAACTTTTCATGCTTTCAACTTCTTAAATTAAGTGCACTTTAACAACAAGAGCACAAGCACTCAGCATAGCTTGCATACATCTCTATGATCCAGAGTTTCCACAAAGCTTCTGTTCTTCAGAACTTATTAGGAAATACTTCGAAGAAGACAATCTTAGTAACTTTGAGTGTTTTTTAATTAGCAGGACAGGAGGTAACAAAAAAGGCTGAGAAGTCAACAAAGAAGAAAACTCAGTAATATACAAACAGCTGCCATTTAGCAGTGATGACTCTGGATAAACAATTGTGCTTTCTTTGGATGACTCCAGAAATAGTTAAATCTCAAAAGATTCTTACAGAAAATGCCATTCCCTGAAACTTTTCCTATCTAAATACCTCTACAAAACAATATTAGTAGTTTAAGTATTTTTTTAAATATTAAGATAAAATATTATTTAAAGAAACACTAGAAGAAAAAGGCCAAGGCATAAGCAGGTTTCCTGCTGCTCCTTACTTTACTCAATTCTGTTCCTCCCACCCAGATCAGAACCTTCACTTAAATGCAGAGGATTACAAAGAACTCCATATGCTAAAGGCACTGCAGCATTTCAGTGAGGCTGCTCTGGGTCCACTGGCCCTTATCAAAGCCAAGCATCAGAACCATAACTGCTGCTTCTACCATCTATTGATTGGGTCTTATTATTGCTTCAAAATTATCTATTTTTCCACTCTGAGGCTCAGTTTCTTCTTTAAATAATTTCAAGAAAATATTCATAATTTGCCTTTAACATTCTCTCAGCCTTTTATATCAACTATTGTTATGAGCAAGTAAATGGAAGAGAGTCCACAGTCAGCTATTGCCTTCAGAGTGATCCCCTCCACTCTCTTGACTTGGATAACCCATGAAAAGACGTGACTTTTAGCACTGATTATAATATTTGCAAATTGGGCACTAATTTTGCATGATGTTTATTCTTTCAGTGCTGAAAATTCATAAAACAAAAATGATGAAAACCATTAATAGATTTCAAATAAAAATTTATAACACATTAGGAAGTAGCAAGTAAAAACACGCCTATATAAAAATGAACCTCGAGGCCGGGCGCGGTGGCTCAAGCCTGTAATCCCAGCACTTTGGGAGGCCGAGGCGGGTGGATCACGAGGTCAAAAGATCGAGACCATCCTGGTCAACATGGTGAAACCCCGTCTCTACTAAAAATACAAAAAATTAGCTGGGCATGGTGGCACATGCCTGTAATCCCAGCTACTCAGGAGGCTGA